AGGAGGAGGTAGGAGGAGCAGGTGGAGCAGGAAGGCGCGGCGGAGGAGGAGGGGCGTGAGGCGGAGGGCGGAGGCGGAGGCGGCGGCGGCGGCGGCGGAGGGAGGCGGAGGGGGAGGAGGGGAGGAGGAGGAGGGAGGCGGAGAAGGCGGAGCGGTGGAGGAGGAGGAGGCGGAGTTAGGCGGAGGAGGAGGAGCAGTAGAGGGAAGGAGGAGGAGGAGGAGGAGGAGGCGGAGGAGGAGGAGGGAGGAGGAGGAAGGGGGGAGGGGGAGAAGGGGGAGGAGGGGGAAGGAGGAGGAGGAGGAGGGAGGAGGAGGAGGAGGAGGCGGAGGAGGAGGGGAGGTGGGAGGAGGACGAGCCCCGGGGCACGACCACGCGGCCCGTAAGGCCCCCGACGTCACGAGAGCGGTTGTGACACCGCAGCAGAGCTCGACCAGAGCCTTGGGCCCCATCTTTAAGTCGGGCGTGTCCCCCTACAGGGGGACTTTCGACGAAACATAAGAAATACCCCAAACATAATCAAAACATAGTCCAAAAATAGTCTGGGGACTATGTTTTGAATATCTTTGACATATTTTGGGTATTTGTTATTTTTTTATTTTTCGTCGAAGATCCCCCTGTGGGGGGACATGCCCGACATAACCCCATCTTCGGCGGCGAGCGAGGCGTTGGAAACGAGAATCTGGGCCTCCTAGATGGGGTCGGAGTAGATGGGGTCGGAGGCTCGATGTGGGGCCCAGTTTTCTCCACGCCGACGTCGCCGATGCATCGCCGACGCCGCCAGTGCATCGCCGATGCATCGCGGATACATCGGCGATGCATTGGCGATGCGGCACGATCCTTCGACCCCATCTACTCGGACCCCATTTAGGAGGCCTCTATCATCTTCGGCAGCGAGCGGGGGGGTGGGGAAATGAGAAGGAGAAGGCCTTTTCAGGAGGCGGTGGGACTTCTCAGAAGCCCTCGCGCCTTCTCGGTGCCTTCGGGGAAGGCTAAGACAACTCCCCAGAAGGTCGGGGGACTTCCGAGCCTTCTCAGAAGGCCCTCTCCTTCTCACTTCCCCCCCTCGCTCGCTCGCCGCCAATCGCATCCTTCCTTGAGCTCTGACGTTGCAAAAAACTGCAACATCGCAACAAATCACGGCCAGACCCCTGGACTCCACCTTTCTGTGCAATTTGTCGAGCTGGATCGATCTGTGAGGGCCCCGGGGCCCGAATTCGAGAGCGGCAAAACGCCTGGCTCGAAGCATGCGAGTCGCCAGGATCGCAGGGTTCTGCGGCGCCAGGGTCCCAGATCCCCGACGTCATGTTTTTTTCAGGACGTCGACCCCTGGCCGCGCTTCCTGGCGGGGATCTGCGAAAAGTATGATATTACTTCTCGGGGGCGATGTCTCTGCTTCCTTTTCTTTTTCGACTATGACCGCAAGTCTCAGGAGCAGGGCGTCTCGTGCTCAGGCCCCCGACGTCATGATTTTTTCATGACGTCGACTTTTAGTGGTTTGGACCCATTCCCCAGGACCGGCTTTTCATCCCGAGCCGATTTTTGCTGGTCCCGAGGCCCGGTAGGGGCCCCCAGAGGCCGAAGATATGCAGCAAAGCCTTCCGTCGTGATTTCTTCATGACTCGGTGGGGGGTCTGGGGGTATCGTGGTGGCGCCCCGCTCCAGGCTCAAGTCGGGCACGTCCCTCCACAGGAGGAATACTCAAAAATAGTCCAAACATGGCCTGGGGACCGTTTTCGGTTTTTTGGTATGGGGGCGCTGAGTATTTTTTTGCGTATTCTTCAAAATCTTCTTCATTTCCCTTCACACATCCGCCTGTGGGAGGACATGCCCGACCTCACTCCAGGCCGTGCCCTCTGGCGCCGCGGCCCCCGGGGTGCGGCCGGCGCTGTCTCCCGGCGCCGTCGGCGGCGCGCGGCCGGCGCTGTCTCCCGGCGCCGTCGGCGGCGCGCGGCCGGCCCTGACGCCCGGCGCGGTGGCGCCCGGCGCTCAGCGGCCTGCCGGCGCGGCGCCCGCGGCGGCGGCGGCCCCCGCGGCGCAGCCGGCGAAGCCGGCGCCGATCGTGGAGGATCGGTGGTGGTTCCACCTGAGGCCCCCTCGAGTCATGCAGAAATCGCGACGGAAGGCTTTTCTGCACATTTTCGGCCTCTGGGGGCCCCCACCGGGCCTCGGGACCGTCAAGAGACGACGCAGGGTGAAGAACAGGTCCCGGGGAATGGGTGCAGACCCCTGGGGATCCACGTCATGAAACATTCATGACGTCGGGGGTCCTGAGGGATGGGATCCCAAGTCGGCGGCGAGCCCAGGGGAGAAGTGAGAAGGGGCGGGCCTTCTCAGAAGGCTCCGAAGTCCCCCAACCTTCCGAGAAGTTTTCCAAGCCTTGACCGGGAAACAGAGAAGAGTTCTGAGAAGGCGCGAGGGCTTCTGAGAAGTCCCGCCGCCTTCTGAGAAGGCCTTCTCCTTCTAATTTCTCCCCCTCGTTCGCCGCCGACTTAGAACGAGGTGCCTCAAACACTGTAACTCCACCCTTGGGTTCCTTCCTATCCCTACGACGCCATCCCTCGGGACCCCATCTTTGTACAACCGAGAGGACGGGATGGGCAACTTCACCGCCGAGAATGCGCGCGGGCTGTTGAACCAGGCCTTCAGCGCAGTCACAGGGGGTCGTTCGGGGAGCGCTCCCCCCCTTCTCCCTCCTCCCCCTGCCTCCCTCCTCCCTCCTCCTCCTCTTCCCTCCTCCTCCTCCTCCTCCTCCTCAGCCGCCGCAGCGGCCCGAACCACCCTCCTTCGCGGCTCATCCCACTTCAGAGGAAAGAGATTCCGCGACAGCGGCATGATGCGTCGTTCACGGGGTCTGCCGAGCCCATGAGAGGGTGGTGGATGGCTCTGCAGGCGCTGGCTCCTCGCCGTGGGTTCCTGCAGCTTGTGATCTTCGTTTCTGCCTGCGGAATGACGAGTTCGCCAGGCCACCGCCCCCCACCGTGCGGTCACACGCACATCAGGGCATGTACTTACAATCCGATGCGTCTCGTCGGCCCGATGCGATGCAGCGACATATTTCAAGAATTTTATAATGTGGGTGCCCTTCTTCTTCCTGGTACCGCCAGACGCAAGGGAGAGGATGACCAGCATATCCTCCGACATGAGAAGCACTGGGATATCTCCTTCGGCTGGGCGAGGGCGAGCAACAACGCGTGCGCAGTCTTCATCATGATGCACAATCGCGTCTTCCCACCCAGGTGCCAACGACGTGTCTACGCTCCTCCACCTGCTTTTGCTGGGGCGTGCTGGGGCCATCCGCCTTGAGACCTCCACACTCGACGTGGTGTTGGTCGTGCTTTACTTCCCGTGTCAACCACAGGTTCGAGGGCAGGCGGCGGAGTATTGGCGTCTGGTCCAGGCGCTTACAGCGTGGACACGTTCTACCATCGAGTCGGTCGGCGCTGGCTGCACCCCCGTGATCGGCTGCGACCTCAACGACGGGCTCGGGGTTTCCGCAGAAACGACGGTCGACGCGGCGGCGCTGCACTACTGGGTTGAGGAGGACGCAGGCAGGGCCGTGGGCACCTTCGAGTCCTTCGCGGAGGGCTTGGCGGGCAGGCTGTGGCACCAGATGTTGAAGGACTGTGAGATGGCGGCCTGCAACACGTTCAGCGAGCTGGGCCCAACATACTACGGCAACTTGGGCAAGACCTGGCGCATCGGTTCCATACACAGACCACAGCGACTGATGGCTCACGTGAAGTCCTGCCGTGTCTTGGAGAAGGCGGCGCGGCGATTGCAGCCGTTTCAGACCTTACACGACCGCAACCATAGGCCCGTTTTCGTGGAGTTCGATTACTGTTTTCAAGTTCAGATGGGAAGCCATCCTGGTTGGGATTTTGACTGTCTGATGGCTTCTGCGCGGCGTGGTGAGGGCTGTGCGACTTTGATTGAACAAATTCACGGAGAACTGTTGTCCAATATGAGCCCGAGTAGGTCAGAATGTGCACGCGCCCTACCACCGACGAGCTCTGGAACTCGGCTGCTTCGCTCCTGGCCAACAAGGCTCGCGAGGCTTTCTTTGAGCTTGCGCCGGCTGAAAGCTTGAAGACGGACCTGGAGAAGCAGCGGTCACACCTCGACATGCGAAAACACTTGAAGGGCACTCGCACTGGCAGATCGACGGAGTCTTGGAGAGAGATTGGGCTGGATCTGGCCAGGCTGACTTGTCGCATTCATTTCACACCGAATCATATTGCAAAGGAACGGGCGGCGGCGCTGGTTGGGGAACTTTACGGGGCCTGGTCATCGCATGATCATCACACAGTGCAGCGGCTTATCCGACGGCTTTCTCGACGAGGACGTGGCCCGAGGCAGCGGCGTACTTCGTAACAAAGACTGAGCAGTGCGACGCGGAACGGATCAGCTCGTTTCTCCAGCAGGCGGCGGTCGGTGGCATGAGCGGCGCCCCTTTCGATCTGCAGGCGGAGTTGGCAGAGCGCTGCGATCGTGCGCGCTATGAGGGCGAGGGGGATTTCAGTTCGGACCAGGTGAGGTACGACGCGATGCAACTCGTGAATCTCGAGCAAGCCCAGGAGGACCTGCAGGGTATGCTCAAGGTGCTTCGTCGTCGTTCCTCGCCGAAGAGACGCGCGTGTCCTCGCTGGTCGATGCCGTCCGTGCTCTGGCTACTGCTGCTGGGCGAGGCGGTGTAGGACTTTTCCCAGCGGGGGGGGGGGGGGGCGCGGGCGCGAGCCGAGCGCATGGCCGACATCATCGTTAGTTTCGGGAGGTCTCGCGAGTCTTTGTTGTTGTTCGACATTTTGTCGTGCGTCGGCCTGTGCAAGAGCAGCGGCAAGTTGGGGGCGGCGGGTCGGAGATGGATTTGATTGTTCTGCCCGATGGGCAAGGCGTGGCATTCTTGGCTTTGGCGACGGGGTCGGAGCGCGCGGGGGGGCCTGCCGCCCCGCGGTCACGGCTTCGCTGCCGGGCGCCGTCGCGAGGGCGCCGTCGCGGTGCAGGCGCGTGCTTCGTGGCGCCTGGAGCAGGGTGGCCTCTCGCGCGCCGTGGTGAACGAAGATGCCGCGGCTCCCTTCGCGAGCGCGGACAGAAGCGCGATCTTGGGTGCCCTCCCGCCCCTTTACCTCCAGGAGGACGTCGTCTTTCAGCGTCGTCGCGCCGTTCAGGGAGGGTGCGCTTCAGATCGATTCGCCGACGGGAGCTATCGTATTCTGACCTTCGACAGGGGGGGTGATGGGCCGCCCTGATCCCGCTCGGGCTTTCCCTTACTTCTACGAGTTAGGCCTCGCTCAATTTCTCGATCGTCGTTCGAGAACGACTTCGAGACATTGCGCTGAAGCGATCGAGATCGACGGCGCTGCGAGCGATGTGGGTCTCGCGATTTTCGCCGGCGACGTTGCTGATATGGCGATTCCAGGATGGGGGCCAGTGCCGCGCGCCTGCGGCGGCGAGGCGGCGCCCCTGGCGGTGCTGGCGGAGTCTAGCAGCAGCAACCTTCGCGAGGCTTTCCTGGATATTGACATGTTTCTGAAACCCGACAAGACGGTCACGCTAGCTGGGATCTCCGGGGAAGGATGTGCAGGTCAACGACCGCTTTGGCACAGCGGCATCTTCAACGCTTCGGGCATCCGTGGGCGACGCATCTGGGTCTCGGGCGGCTGTGCCATATCTACGGGGTCCGTGGCCGTGGAGAAAACCGAGCGCATTCGGGCGGGGAAACGGTCTGGGGCTCATATCTTGCTTCCTGGTCAAGTCCGCTGCCAGGACCGTCGAGAGAATGGGGATCATCTGATTTGTTGAGTCCGCCCTCCTCTCGGGCATGGGGGCCCGCGTGATCGACTCGTCCTTCGGCGAGCGGGCGGGCCGCGTTCTGGTGCTAGCTATGCGCAAGGGCCTGTGCCTACTAGGGGGCCGCGAGGGGCTCGGGCAGCGAGATTCGCAGGTGGGCTTCCAAAAACGTTTGGGGCTACTGGAAAATCTTGCCGGCCTCGGGGGGGCGTGGGGGCCGTCGTCTTTGGTGGCTTCAGAGTTGGGCGCGCTTTCCAGACGCCCACCGCCAGGTGAGAGCATGCATGGGAAGTTTCGACACGGTCGACGAAGACTGGAACCTCGCCCCGAAGGCCAACCCCTGGGCGCGACAGCTTCCGGAGGACCTTAGGTGCGCGCGCGAGCGCTGTGAGGACTTCGCGGAGCTGGTCCCCTGGGGCTACCCCCTTCTGAAGCTGCTAGGGGTGCAGGGGCTGGGCCTTCCCGCGCCTCGCGGCCCTGCGTTCAGCGGCCTACTCGAGGTCGCTCGCCCCTCCCGAGCACAAGCCGGAGGCTCCAGGGGTCCCCGGGGCGGAGGGGGAGACGGCCCAGGAGGGCCACTTCGTCTGCAATATGGCGCTCAGCGCGGGCGCCAAGTGCAACAACAAGTTCCGCGCCATGAAGGCGCTCCTCCTCCGCGCTGGCCGCGCGCGTCGGGCGCGGGTGAGGCGGCCCCCTTAACAGTCGCCAAGCAGTGTTTCTGCTGTTCAGAAGTGTTGGGCGCGAAAGAGAACGCTGAGAGACGCGTCGTGAGGTCCTTCAAAAGAAACGTATGCAGTCGTGGGGGTCTCTTTTTGCTGGCGCAAGTTGCGGTGATCCCTCGAGACCTACAGTGTTCTGTATGTAGTCATTAGGCTCAAAGTCTGTGCGATCTGCAAGTGCACGTGCGCTCGCGCTGTTCTCTTCCATGACCAGCGGTGCATCGTGGAAAAGGATTCGTGGCGACGGGCAGCAGCGAGGCGGCCATGGTGGACTTGTCGGCGCTCGTCGAATTCGGCAAGCGGAAAGGCGAGCCCCCCGGTGGCGGCGAAGATGGGGCAGGGAGCGCAAAACAACGCAGGGCGGTGGCGGAGGCGGCAGACGACGCGGAGGATACCTTACAACGGGTGGAAGGAGCTCTCAGTTCAATTTGCGTGGCAACGGCGCTGAGTCCCCTGCGTGCGCTCGCAACTCCTACGCGATATGGCAGCAGTAATCTGTGTGAGCGTGATCCTTCCGGCAACGGCGCCGATTGTCGTTGCTTCCAGGCCCGCTGGGAAATTCTGCGCCGAGGCTGCTGGGCCCCCCGGCGTGAAGGACAAGCTGGGGCCGCCGCGCTTGCGCATGGCGCGCGCGGGGTAGAAATGCTTGGTGCAGGCGGTGTCGAGCCTCGAGATCTGGGGCGAAGCTTTGGAAGTGGCGCGCCTGTTCGACAGCAAGTTCATACGTGCTGAGCGGATGCAGGAGCTCGGCTTATCGATCCGACACTTCCGATGCAAGAAGTGCTACAACGAAGGCGTGACTCGGCTCCAAATCGCGATGGTCGACGGGGTGCAGCTCCACAGTGACGTGCGCGAGCCCGCGACCTACTCCAAGCTGATGGTCGAGAACGCGACGGTGGTGCTCCTCAAGGGCATCGGCGGCGCCCTCAAACAGGGCGCGGGGCCTCGGGGCCATCTGGGGAACTTGGCGCAGCGGATGTTCGACAAACGCAAGGTCGGCGGCAAGGGCAGGGGCAAGCGGAAGTGGCGGACGCGTGGCAAGTTCAATTGGCGTCATTGAAGGCTCTCGTTGCTGCCGGAGACCTTCCTGCTAAGTCTTTGGCCTGGCCTGGGTTCGTTCGTTCTTGGGTATTTCAAGGCATTGGTAAGCGCCGAGACTCATCGCGCAGTTTCGTCTTCGCTCGCGTAATTTTTTGGGCCCTATGGGGCTTCGCCAACGCGGCTGGGCGCCTGGCTCTGGGTGGCATCTATCCTGGGATAGAACGTGCGCATGCCGCGTGCACTTCGTGCGGCCCCGCTTATGATTGAGAGCCCTCCCCCGAAAAGCTGGCCCAGCGTTTCCCAGCCAACTTGTTGGAAAGCTGGCGCTCAGTTTCCCAGGGGTATTGGTAGCCTTGTGTCCTAGGAATGAAAGGCGTACGTTCCTGGCTCCAGGTGCCCGCCAAAGTCCGTCTGAGGGTGTTTTTTTGGCCGCGTGGCTTTGGATTGCCCCGGGGAGGAGCGAGACTCATTGCAGATCTCGCAAACAGACTTCCGGGCGGGGGGTGGCGGGGCAATGCCGGGGGTGGCGGGGTGGCGGCTGACGCGCGCACCTTGGCGAAGCTTTTTTGCCATCTCGTTGGCTGTATCGGCGCGCCATCTTTTAACAGCCTCGGCAGCGCGGCGACAGAATCCTTTCCACGTCTTCGGATCTTTCGCTGCTCGCAACAGTAGCCCCCTGGCCGATGAAGTCCTGCCGGCTTCGAAGTCATCGAAACTCTGCAGCCATTGTAGTTCATCCTTTACCAGAGCGCTGCAGGAGTCCTTCGCGGTAGCTTCCGGACCCGGAAGCCGTCTCAACCGGGGGGGGCAGTCGTCATGAGCTTAGCGAGGTAGCGGAGCAATATGAGCTTCGCCACCTCCGGGGCAGCAGCGCGATCAATCTCGCCCAGGAGATCGTCGTTGTGGACGCATTCCTGATCAGAGCCCAGCCTTGGTCCCCAGGATGCTACGAAAGGGGGCCAGATGGGCGGCAACGGTCGTCTCATTTTCGCTTTGGCCGAGCGCCCCCCGAGCATGGGCATTTCGCGGGCGCCTCGTGGTGCAGAGGGTGTCGTCGTATTTAGTCTTAGTTTTGATGCCGAGGCGCTTGGTTTTGATGGTCGTCCTCCTCAGTGGTCCAAGCCCTGTCTTTCGTTAAGTTCTACGGTGCGAAAGCTTAGAGCCAAGACGCCCCGACTGAGTGACTATCGCCCATCGCCCCGAGATGTTTGTGGGACCTCTGGAGACAGATCTCATCGCCATTCCCGGTGGCAAACAACGCGGGGCCCTAACTTGCACGGGGGGCGGGGAAGGGCCGGCGCGAGCCAAGCGGGGCCCCGCCCCCCTTACTTGGGCAGGCATGGCTGACTTGCCCTTCTCACCACATTTCCATAAATTGTGGTTGCGCGATTGATAGCGACAGTGATCTCGGACAAGGCGTCTGGCATGTCTTCGACCTTTTTCAGCGACGGCCCAATGCAACAAGTCATCAACGCAAGCGCTATTTGCCAACGAATGATTCCCTCCCTTCTTTAGCAAAGACAGGCTGCTCGGATGTTTCGAGGCTCAAGAGATAACCGTGCTCCTGGAGAACGCTTCTGATCCGCTGAGTTAATGGCATGGGAAGCGCGTTGAAACCGAGGTCAGCTGGCGAGTTGCTGGGCCTGCTACCTGTCGTGGTCCTGGCAACTCCACTCGCCACTCGTAGACCGCGTGCTGTGCTGCGTGTCGCCAAGCACCCTCAGAAGGTGTTCATCGCCGAGACCCTCGAGGATGGCAGGTTGTCCCATTGTGCGCTCCAAAGGGCGGGTGGGCCTTGTGGGGGTCTCGGAGGCAGCAATTGCATCTGCCGAATTGTCTTGGTCGTCAAGATGCGGCATGACGATTGGTACAACCATCCTGTAAGATGTTGACTTTCAATTAAAATCAGCGAGAGTTGACGCTTTCTCTGCTTGTTGGTGACAGCTGAAAAAGTCAGCACCACGGGGACCGCGATGCCAGTCCCTCTCCCAGCACATCCTCCCATCTGGGCCCCCACCAGTAGGCCAGCAACACGGGTCTGCAATCTGGTCCGCATGAACTTGTGATGGTGTTTGGCAAGTTTGTTCATGAGAAGTGTTTGTGTGTGTGTGTGTGTCTGTATCTAGTTTGTTCAGCGTGTTCGTCAGCATATGTGCAAGCCATGCGCCCATCCGCCTTAAATGATGCAACGGTCTCGCTGTCTCATCTGGGCGCAACTCGGCATTTCTTCAATCAGCTTGTCTGGGCCGCGAGCCTTTTCATTCTTCCTTGCTGAGTGAGAAAACTGATGGCGTCTCAGGCCATGCTATTCTCAACGTGGCTGATCTTGCACTTGTTGACCCTCTAATTGTCATTGTTGTATTTCGTGTCGAGTTTTTCGGGGGTCATGACGGTGCCGCCTGCGATGACAGCGACAGGTTCATGGGCCGAATCAGGACCTCAGCCCTGGATCGAAGCGGGGGCTCATCGGGGCCTTTCCTAATCGGCGTGGCCCCCGACGCCAGCTTCATTCTCCTGCCTCCGAAGGCCTGGCGGGCCCTTGGCCACTCTCCTTTCTTGCTCGGGATATCTTTCCTCGACCGCATCGCCACGCTCCTGGGCCATCTCTTCCAAGTGGGCAGTGCGCGGTGCGGTCCAGATCTAGTTGTTCGCGGAGGAGCCCAGCCGTGGCGCGAGAGACACCGCCACGAGACAACCCAGATACCCAGATCCCAGTTAACTGATTCTGAAGCTCGCGTTTGATCTGGGCTGCCTCCGCCTGGCATTCAAAAGCGCAATATGGGCAGGGCTACGAGATCCTCCTCGCCCGCTTCAGTAAGGCCTGTGCCTTCCAGTCTAGTGGGGTTCCCAAAGCTGCCTTGACCTCCCGCCTCCAGTTGATCATGTGCACATGGCGAGGGGGTCAGTGGCTTCCTGGGGTAAGCCTGCGCGACTCGAAATGCAGCAGCAGCGGTTTACGGGATCTGGTTCTGCGCTGGTTTGCTTGTAGTGCGAGCTGGCATCGACCGTCCACGGGAGCAGAGGTATGGCACAGATCAGAGCGCTGAAAAATGCGGCCTTGTGGGGTTCATGGATCAACTTTCGATTGTACGTGATAATTCCGGTGGGTCTGACCCCATCACTCGCTTCATGCTCTTCCCCTCTCCCTCCCTGACGCTTCTTGCCAGCCTTGTCGTGGATTGCCCATGCCATGACAAGCGCGCATGGAAAGTTGCCGATAATCTCAAAAACAAGCCATCGACATCTGCTAGCACCTGCTCATACCTGATGGCCGGGAGCATTGTCGGGTGAATTATCGTGTAGTCGATGCGATGCCTGGCCATAGTTCACAACCGTGAATCCATCCTGACCATCTGGCCTGGCCCACTCGGGATTATTCAGGGTCGAAGGAACGAAGTATCCTAGTTCGCACAATAACTGGCGAAAGCAACAGCCTGTTGCATTCCAAGTCTCGGCCCATCGCCCCGACCCCACAGAGTCAGATTGAACGCTACCGAGTCTAGCATAGGCATCGGCAGCAATCGCATCAGCACCTGTCTTCCTTGCATGCGCAGAGGTCTCATCCCACCACCGATGAAGGGCACCCGCGTCTAGTTTCCTGCTCTGAGCGTCCTGATAGGGCGCGTGCAGGACCATGAAGTTAAAAGTGAAGCCCCGGAGCGTGGACCCGCACTACATGCCTGCGGTCTTGGACTGTTTCTTGCATGGCCCAGGCTATTCTGTACCTCTGCTGTATGCGATTGAGCTTGGCTCTGCTCTCCTTGTAGGAAGCCTTCTTCTCCGATTCGCTTGCCGTCGCTACCAGTGGTTGGTACCCTGGATTGTCCTGATCTTCTTTCGGCGTGGCCATGCGCACGAAGAGCGGGCCGCTGGTCTCCTCTCTCTCCTCCTGTGGAGTGGACTTCTCTGACTTCCTGCTCGGAGATCTGGACTTTGACTTGCGGTTGTTCCTCTTCTCCATGCCTTTCGACGTCGCCCAGTGTGTGTGTGTGTAGCATTTCGTGCAGTGAGCGATCTTCTCCCCAGTTTGATGGCCGCATTTGCAATACCATGGCGTCACCCGGTGACGGGGAAGAGCACTGTGTGCGGATGGGGGAGTGGAAATCGTTGGGCTAGAAACTTGGCCAGCTGCTGGTCCAAAACAGCTTGATGGTTGTCGCACGGCAGCGGAAACCTGCAAGCTCGAGCTCCCGCGACAAGGAGTTCGAACTTGAGCCAACATGGCTACGGTCTCTCCTCCTCCTCCTCCTCCTCCTCCTCCTCCTCCTCCTCCCCCTCCCCCTCTCCCTCCCTCCCTCTCTCCGCGTCACTCCATTCCCTTTCCTTATAGCTAATTTTTCCCTGTCGCACTCCGAGGCCAGTCGAAAGGGCGGGCCGGGTGTTCCGCCTGAGACATCCTCACCATTCATGATCCGGACGCCTACACATTGGTAACAGTTTCACAGATGGAGGGCGGGTGTTTTTCAAAACTTAGCTATTGCCTGAGCGCCGCGCACATTCGTTTTAAACATTTGCAAGGGTTTCACGGATTGAGGGCGGTGCCTTTTCAAATCATGGCTCTCGCCTTAGCGCCACCCGCATTCCGTGTTGAAGATCTCAAGCGTTTCACGGATTCCAATGGTCAGCGTACCATAAATGGTATTTTGGAACGATTCAGGATTTTGAGGGTGCAACAGTTACGTTGATTCATGGTGTTGAAATCCCAGGAATGGCTAGCTGGCGCGATTCAGGATCGTCAAGACGCAACAGTCAGGTTGATCCGTGGCGTTGAAGTCCCGAGGGTAATGTTTTGGCACGCTTCAGGCTCTTCAAATGGTTGTCTTCCAACGAGGCGTTTCCCTCAGTGGAAATGAACGCTTGTAGGGGCCTATGAAGAGGATGCTTGGAGGGAGGGTTATGCGAACATCGTTGATGACTCTTGGGTTTACGCTGGTCCTCCTCCTCCTCCTCCTCCTCCTCCTCCTCCCCTGGGGGTTGGGAGGCTTCCTGACTGCATTGGCGAGGCTCTCAAGAAGTGGAGGCAGAAGTCGGACATGGACATCCGGACCGAGGGGCCTCCCCACGCGCCAGTGTTCAGGGCGTCGCTGGGTTTCACGGTCCCCAGGCTCGGTAACAAGTGGATCCAGATGAGCCATGTGACTTCCACCAAGAAAGAGGTGCAGAAGGAGCTGGCACTTAAGCTCTGCAGGAAACTCTTCGCCCTTGGCGCCATCCCGAAGTTCGCAAGGAGCGTGACAAAGGTCGGGTCCCTGGAGGAGAGCCTGAAGGACTCCAAGTACCACGAGCAGGGTCTCTTCGGCCTCGGGCTTCCCCAGGGCCTCAAAGGCCGGCTGCGCACGTACCTGGAGGCGGCAGGCTACGAGGCTCGAACAAGAAAAAGCTGCAGAAACAGACTCGCGGAGGTCCGCGTCGATAGTCTTGGCGCTGCTACCCGCTCCCCGGCGAGCGGAGCGCGCCGGGGTCGGCGCGGGAGGCGCCGTTTGGCGAAGGCTTAGTCCATACGGAGTAAGTCTATACGGAGTGCTCGGTCTCCGTCTGGACTCACTCCGTCTGGGCTTAGCCTCTCCTGACAGGAGGCTGAGTCCATACGGAGTAAGTCCATACGGAGTGCTCTGTCGTCGTCTGGACTTATTCCGTCTGGACTTGGCCTCGCCTGAGTCGTCAGGGGGGCCTGGCGCTGATCCAAGAAATCCGCGCGGGCCTTCGACGTTTTGGCATGCTTCTTGCGCTTCTTGTTCCGCCAGAGGTGCCCCCCGCCGGCGGGGCGTACCCACCCGACACGGTCCTGTTCAGGTCGGGGACTACATACACGTCGGTCGTCGAAAACAGGTACCTCTCGGTTCCCACACTATTTCAGGTGCCTTCCTACTTCAAGGGTCGAGTGGTTTTCCTTCGTCCCTCCTCTTCAGGGGCCGGGCGGAAGTCCGATCTACTTCCAACGCCATCCTACTTCATGTTTCTACCCACTTCTTCCGACCGACGGGTCGGGTTATCGTGAGCCTTACCCTTGCGGGTCCAATCGATGCCGAGGTCATCGGACACCCCCAGTGGGGCCCACCTGGCTGCAGACAACTTCCGAGTTCTGAGCCCCAGCCAGTTTTTTCCGAAAGGGTGACCTGCAGGCCACGGGCAACGATAGGGGGGGATAGGCATGAAGGGGGATGCATCGACTCCGCATCGCCCATTGATCGCCGATAGTGGCCCGATAGCCCCAGCCTGCCCAGGAACGTGCGGACTCACTATCGGGGGCCTATCGCCGATCTATGGGCGATGTATCGCCGATTCCTGGTCGATGCTTTCCCTCTATGCCTACCCCCCTTCTCGCTGCCCCTCAGCAGTGGTCCTAGATATCCGAAGGTACAGCCGGACCCAGCACAGACGAACATCTTTCAAGAGCATGCGACCCTCCGCCGGCCAAACTGAAGAACACATGAGGGTCCCCCCTCCAGGATGCACAAGAGCATCCGACAAATACGGAAACCATTAGGGCACCCTCCCCGAAGCGACCTGATCTTACCGGCCGGGCGGAAGACGTGAATAGAAACACTCAGCGAAAGCAGATCGGGCTTCCGCCCGTCCCCTGGAGGGGAGAGACGGGGGAAAGCCGCTCGACCCTCGAAGTGGGCGGGCGCGCGGAGCAGATGTGGCATCTGGGCATCCAGGAATGCCTGCCTTCAACGACCGGCGTGCAGGGCACCTCTCCCCGCACCGCACGCCTCGATCTGACACCTCTCGGCCCGACCGTGCGACTCGTGCCAGGGCGCGGCCCCTCCGCTCTTGGCCCCCCTCCCGGGGGCCAGCTCTCCGCCCCGGGGGCCCGGCATCCGAGAGTCCCCCCCCCCCCCCCCGGGGGCCGGCTGCGGCGTGGCGCGAGGAGGGACCCTTCGCGCGCCAGCGTGGCCTCTGCTGCTGGCCCAGTGGGGTCCCCCGATCGCCGAGCTCGCCGAACGCGAAGGGGCGGCAGCGGCCTGCGCGCCCAGGTCTGGCCGCCCCGCGTCCCCGTGGGGGCCGCGCAGCAGAGGTCGCCCTTGCCCCGTGTCATGCTTGCGTGCAGCCGACCGGAGGAGGAGGAGGAGAGGAGGAGGAGGGAGGAGGAGGAGGAGGAGGAGGAGGAGGAGGAGGAGGAGGAGGAGGAGGAGAGGAGGAGGAGGAGGAGGAGGAGGGGGAGGATGGTGACGGGCCCCGGGGGCCGAGCTGAGCTCGAGGAAACGCGGCCGCGATGGGACACAACACAGATGGTCTAAGATTTGGGCACGGTCGGACCGAGGTAATTATAGGATCGAGGTCGGTTCGGGGAGGGTAACCCTCCACCCCGGTCGTTGAAGGCAGGCCTTCTTGGGTTCCCAGATCCCAGTCTACGTGAGGCGACCTCCTTCTTCAAGAGTCGAGTGGTTTTCCCGCTTCCCTCTTCTTCAGGGGGCGGGCGGAAGCCCAATCTATCTTCACCGCCTTCCTACTTCATGTTTCTATTCACTTCTTCCGACCGAAGGGTAAAAGATCGAGGTCGGCTCGGGGAGGGTGCCCTACCGTTCTTTGTGCTTGTTGGATGTTCTTGTGCATCCCGGGGGAGGGCGCCCTCAAGTGTTCTTCAGTTTGGCCGGCGGAGGGTCTCATGCTCTTGAGGGATGTTCTTTTGTCTTGGGTCTGCCTGTAACTATGGTTCGCGCCCGGGGTCCCGATGCACTCACCTGGACCAGCTCTTCGTCCAGTCCAGCGTCGTTCTTGGACGGTCCAGGGGCCCGTCGAGGGCCCCCCCGGGGGCCGAACATACAGTCAATTCGCACAGTCAGTAAAGATGGGCAACCTTCCCAAGGGTACCCTTGCATCCTTCCCCTTCGGTCCACCCTTGGCCGCTTTCGCTGGCCGCGCCCCGCTCGCAGAGCGTCGGCATGGCCTTCCAAGCCCCTTGCGTCCGCATGGCAGTGGAACGAACATTGACATAAACATAAAACTCGGAGGTCCGCGCGGATTTCTCGGATCGGCGCTGGACCCCCCTCCCTGGCGCGCGGAGCGCGCCAGGGGTGGCGCCGGAGGCGCCGCCAGGGGGCCCCAGCGCCGATCCGAGAAATCCGCGCGGACCTCCGAGTTTTTATGTCTATGTCATTGGTCGTTCTCCTATCTGGTGCGTCCTTATGATACGGGTTGACTGTAGCAAAAAACTGCCGTCTCGCTGTTTTGTCCGCGGCGCGCGGGGGTCTGGGGGTACAGTATACATATGATATATGGCTCACGTGTGGTGGCCCGCCGAGAGGGGTGACGAGAGCTCCGCCGCCGCGGTCGGCGAGGGCGCCAGGCAGGAGGTGCTCGGGGGTGGCCAAGATCGGGAAAAAATATATTACAGTGGCGGGCTGTAAGCGTCGACTTGGTGTCGATTAGCGTTGATTCGCGTCGATCCCTCCACCTCCACCTTCCATACCTTCCGATCTCCGCGGAAGGTTCGGAAGAATCCATCGAGAGTCATGCACACCTTACGCACTTCAAGGTAACCCACATAGGTCATATCGAAAAGGGGGCGGAAGGTTCGGCTGGAAGGTCTGGAAGAATGAGGGGGAGGGGTTATTGCCGATTTTGCGTCAGTGAGCGTCGAGTAGCGACGATTCTCGGAAAGTGGAACATCTTCTTCACGCTTCGCGTGTCCCCACTAGCCCATTCAGTAATTCAGCCCTTCAGAGATGACGGGAAAAGGGACGAAGAGACACATCTAGGGAAACAAAGCGAGCAAGGGGGTGGCCTTGGAAGGTCTCTTCGGGCCATCCCTGGGTGCCGCGTGGGGGCGAGGGGAAGAGGAGGAGGAGGAGGAGGAGGAGGAGGAGGAGGAGGAGGAGGAGGAGGAGGAGGAGGAGGACGAGGAGGTCGAGGAGGACGAGGACGCGGATGAGGACGAGGACGAGAAGGACGAGGACTAGGATGAGGACGACGGACGAGGACTCATGGAACCATCTAGAGGTATTCTTGCGGCTGTTGCTGCTGCTGCTGGTGCTCTCTGGGAGTTTTTGGGGCCCTCTTGGAACCCTCTTGGTAACCCTGGAAGTCTTCTCGGGATCATCTTGGAGGCCATCGATTACAGGATGGGGGAGTCCCCAACTCAACTCCCCCCTCAGGAGCCAGCAAACCGCTTCTTGGGGCTCTCTTGGAGCGCTCTTGGGCGCTCTGGGAGCGGTCTGGGGGCCGTTTGGAGCATCTTGGGAACCATCTTGAGCCAGCTTGGGCTATCTGAGCCATCTTGGAGGTCATCTTGGGCTCTCTGAGACCGCTAGGGGGCCTCTTGGGGGCCTCACGGGTGCCTCTTGGGGCCCTCTTGGGAGCCTCTTGGAGCCCTCTTGGGGCTCTCTTGGGGCTCTCTTGGGAGCCCTGGAGCGCCTCTTGGGGCCATCTTCGAGGCTATCGATCAGAGGGAGGTTCCCCGATCGGCGCCCCCCCCTCGGGGGCCACGATCTTCGTGAGGGGTGTCAAACATTGGCCCTCCCAGGGGCCGATCTTGGACGCTCCAACGGATCGCGGTCCCTCCCGTCCAGGTCCAGGGGAGGGGGTGGGGGGAGGGGTCAAGACACCCTCTCCGCACGCAAGCTGTCTAGCTCCCACCCGCCCTCCCACCACATAAGTGGCATCCGAGTCTCGGCATAGTCAGGGGTCGCCACTGGATGGACAGCCACTGGGAAGCAAAACAGACGCCAGGTGCGCGACGCTCGCCGCGGGCTCCACATGCGGTTGGTGTGCCATCCTTGTGAAAGACGTGATGCCCCTCGTCCGCATGGTCCAGATGCTGATGTGGGGGGCGTCAGCATTGTTTTGGGCCTGCGCACAGCAAGCATCATCATGCGGGCACCACCGCCGTCCCTGTCAAAGACAATGCAAAGTGATCGCTGGTGGCCAGCACAGTACCCACGACATTGTCTCAACGTGCACTTTGCATTGTGTTTGACACGGATGGTTGTCCTGCACAAAGCGGCTTCATTAAGGGTGCCCCGCAATCCCTGTTAAAAACAGTACAACGTGCTCACAGGGCGTCAGCGCATTGTCCAGATTTTGCTGCATTGTGCACTTCGTATTGTTTATTGAGAGGGATTGTGGAGGGTGTTGGCAGAGTGGGCCTCGCAATGTGCATTTTGTATTGTTTTTTGATAGGGATGGTCGGGGGGGTGCCCGCAAGGTTCGAGGTTGGCTGCCGGCCAGGGGGGGGAGCGGGTCTTTATTAACAGGGAGCAGTGATAACCCCCTCCCCGATGGGGAAGAAGAGTTTTTGGAAGAAGAAGGAAAGTCATCGTTGGACCACCTGCGCCCAGATGGCTGGTGGGATACACTGCCAGTGGCGGGCCGTTGTTCAATCCCAGGGTTTCTTGAAGGTCGGAGACGACGTCGGGGTGGTGTGGTGTATATTTTTTCCCAGTTTCCTGGGGGAACATCGAAAGATGTATACACCAGGATCCTGTATACACCAGGATCCGCTTTCCTGTGCAAAGTTTCGTGCAGGGCCAGAAAGAGTGTCGGTGCATGGAGTTCGTTTCCCTACAAGAGCGGGGGAGGTTGGATATCCTTGCCGTGTCCGTGAGATCTGCCCGGATTGCATGGCGCCCTCCCCAGACATGCAACGCCCCTTGACCAAAATCAGGGCGGCGCTTTTCTTTTTTCCATGTCTTCGGGCTCCTGGGAACCCATGAACTGGGCCCCAACACCGTGAACAGAAACGCCTCGCGACGAAACACCGGCCCCCGGGGAAGAGGTCGGGACTCCTGGGGACCGCATCCCGAAAAGAGCTAGGGACCCCCGCACGTCCGGGCCTTCTTCTTCCTCCAGCGCGTGCCTGGCCCCCCTCCCGTCGTCCGCGCACGCCGCCTCCGGACACGCTTTGCGATCCCCTCCTCTTTCGGGGGGGGGATGTCGGAGTGGTCCCGGAGGCAAGGGGCACGACGACCGACAACAGGCCCTGTCCATTTTGAGCAGGGTTCGCTGTCGGCGTTGCCTCGTCCATCTGAAGCAACAGTCGCCCGCCTAACAGCGGCCGCCGTCGGCTTTCGACACGATTTGCCGTGCGGCATCGCACCCTGGTTTACCGGGCACCCATCAGGCATGTTAAGAAAAATATTCGACCTTCATGGACTCCAGCTTTCGTTTGAGAAAACCAAGAGGCTGGGCTGCACCCTGGACGTCCCCTCGGAGCTCCCTTTTGCCACAGAACTGCCGTCGATGTGGACCTGGAGCACTGCTGCAGAGAACCCTTCGGGCGCAGTCCAGTTTCTGAGCTCACTTTCTCCTTAACTAGGGGGCCACATGCGAACCCTACCCCTACCCCCCACGATTTCGGAGGGGGTAGGGGTAGGGTTCGCATGCGGCTCCCTATTGAGAAAATCGAGAATCTGGGCTGGACCCTGGACGTCCCCTCGGAGCTCCCTTTTGCCACAGAACTGCCGTCGATGTGGACCCCTGGAGCACTGCTGCAGAAGACCCTTCGGGCGCAGTCCAGTTTCTGAGCTCACTTTTTCCTTAACTAGGGGCCGCATGCGATCGCTACCCCTACCCCCCATGATTCCGGAGAGGGAGGGTGGGGTTCACTTCGCTCGGGAGCTCCCAAGCGAAGTGAACCCCACCCTCCCCCTCAGAGATCGTGGGGGATAGGGGTAGGGTTCGCTTGTGGCCCCCTATTCATGGACTCCAGCTTTCGTTTGAGAAAGTCAAGAATCCGGGCTGGACCCTGGGCGTCCCCTCGCAGCTCCCCTCTTTCCAAAGAGAACTGCCGTCGACGTGGACCTGGAGTACTGCTGCAGAAAACCCTTCGGGCGCAGCCCAGTTTCTGAGCTCACTTCTGAGAGGACTTGCGGGTTCCATCATTGGGCCTCAGAGTTCTCCATCAGGCTCTGTGTGGTTCCTCCAATATCCTCTTGCGTCCTCCTGGGTAGGGACTCTTTTCTCCTCAACGTCTAAGCAGGGGTGTGCCCACTTGGGCGTGCCAACCCTTTGACGCCCCTCGGCTCTGGAACGCCCCCGAGGTGCGGGCCGTGGACTGGGTGCCCCCGGGCTCCCCGGGCGCCTCGCCCTGGCCGGCGAGCAACGACCGCACGCGCTACGTCGCGGCCGACCCGTCCGCGGCGCAGAAGGCGGCCGAGCTGCCCGTGGCCAGGAGCGCTGACGTCCTCTAGTCGTGGAAGGGAGCTCCACCGCAGGCCCCAGTGGCGGCCCCGCCCCACTGCGGTGCACCCCTCATACTTTTCGCGGCCCCGCACCGCGGTCCGCCTAAAGCGCCAGTGGCAGCGCCTACATGGTGGCCCCGCCCCACATCGGCACACCCTTCGCATGCTTCATGGCCCCGTGAGGAGATCCCCCGAAGGCGATACCCGCAACGACGGTACTCACACCTGCATATGGTTGGGTTCTTCGCCAGGACAATTTTTTGCAATGTCGGATCTCAGGGAAGGCCTTCTCACCCAGACCCCTTCGAGTCATGAAGAAATCACGTCCAGAGGTTTTCTTCACCATTTTCGGCCTCCGGGAGTTCCTACCGGCCCTCGGGACCGTCAAAAAACGATTCGGGATGAGGAGCCGGTCCTGGGGAATGGGTCCAGATCGCTGGGGACCTCGCTGGGGACCCATGTCATGAAACATTCATGAAGTGGGGGGTTTGGGCAGAAGGCTTGGAAGTCCCCCGGCCTCCTGAGAAGTTCCCCAAGCCTCTCCCGAAGGCACAGGAAAGCCTCTCGAAAGGCCGGAGCGCTTGTGAGAAGCCCCGCCGCCTTCGAGAAGGCCCTCTCCTTCTCACTTCCCCCCCTCGCTTGCCGCCAGCAGTAAGACGAGGGCGGCTCCGCCAGGGGAGGCCCGAAGGAGGTGGAGGATGAGGATGAGGATGAGGATGAGGATGAGGATGAGGATGAGGATGAGGAGGAGGAGGAGGAGGAGGAGGAGGAGGAGGAGGAGGAGGAAGAAGAGGGGGAGGAGGACCCCCTCCCCCTCCTACTTCTGGTGGGTGGCGGTGGAAAACAAGCCCACCACAGAGAGCTGACGCTCCGAACAAGAATGGAGCGGCGGGCTTTTGGTCGCTCTCGGCCTCCAGGAGCCCTCGCAGGGCCTCGGGACAGTCAACAAAACGACTCAGGACGAAAAGCTGGCCTAGGTTTAAGTCGGGGGCGTCCCTCTACAGGAGGAGTATTCAAAAACATTCAACCAATAGTCAGGGGGCGATTTCTCGAGTATTATTTTTGAGTTTCTTGGAGCATTTTCTGGGTATTCTTAATTTTCCGTTGAAGATCCGCCTGTAGGAGGACATGCCCGGCCTAATCCTAGGTGTGCCGAAACAGCGGCACGCGGAGGGCAGAGGCAGGGGTGGGAGGAGGGAGGGGGAGGGGGGAGGACGGAGGAAGGAATGCGGGGCGCTGCCTCTTCAAGACGAGAGCCAACACCACAGGATGGTGGGGACAACCACCAGACCCCGGGGGGCCCACGCATCGGGCAGAGATGGGAGCGGCCAGCTGTCTGGGGGGTGGCACGCTGGAGGCGGAGACGGGGGCCAGCCTGCCTTCCTCCCCGTCCTATTGGCGGCCCCCTGTGCGTGCTTCCTCCTGCTTCCCCGACGGGACCTCCAGTGCCTCTGTCCCGCCGTTTCCGGTGGACCCTTCAGCGAGGCCCGCCACGAGACGACCCCCCGACCCCCCTCGAGTCATGACAAGAATCACGACGGGAGGTTTTTCGCTATGTTCGGCCTTTTGGGGGCCCCCTCTGGGCCTCGGGACCGTCAACCATTTACTTCGCAGGAGGAAAAACCGGTCCTGGGGAATGCGTCCAGACCGCCGGGGCTCCACGTCATGAAGAATTCATGACGTCGGGGGTGGGCACGAGACGCCCTGTTCCTGAGACTTGCGGTCGAAAAGGAAGCAAAGACATCGCCCCCGAGAGGTAATACCATAGTTTTCGCAGCTCCCCGCCAGGAGGCGCGGGGAGATCGTGCAGACGGTGGCGTCGGCGCAGGTCACGGTCATACAGGGCGCGACGGGCTCCGGGAAGACGACCCAGGTGCCGCAGTTCCTGCTCGACGCGGACGACGGCCTCCTGAAGACCATCGTCGTCGTGCAGCCTCGGCGGCTCCCCGCCATGACGGTGGCGCAGAGGGTGGCGGCGGAGCGGGGAGAGCCTCTGGGCGTCTCGGTGGGCTACGCCGTCCGCTTCGACGCGATCTGGCCGAGCAGCGTCAACAGCATATGCTACATGACCACCGGCCTGCTGCTCAAGCGCCTGCACCGGGGTGGTCAGGGACGTCAGGGGCGACGGGTCGCCTGCGCGCGAGAGTGGCCCTTCCCCGGAGCGGCTTTGGGTGCGGGCCCCCCGATCGCCGAGTGCGGCGCGAGAGCGGCCGGCGGGCTCGGGTTTGGCCCCCCCGCGTCCCTCCAACGCCGCGCACCAGAGGTCGCTCTTGCCTGAGAGGTCACTCCTGCGTGCAGCCAAGCAGGCTCACGGGGGGGGGGGGGGGGACGCGTCGACACCCAGTCGCCCCTTCCTCGACGACGTGGGGCCCAACGGCCCGCCCTGCCCAGGAGCGTGAGGCGCGCCGATCCATCGGCGATGCATCGCCGATTCCGGCTCGAGGGTCCCCTCCCCCCTTCCTCTTCCTCCTCCTTCCTCCTCCTCCTCCTCCTCCTCCTCGTCCTCCTCGTCCTCCTCCTCCTCCTCCGAGTCGGTCCCGTGGTGGTTTCCGGGTCCCGGCTGGGGCCTTTGGCGGCCGTGCGGGACGATCGGGGCACTCCTTGGAGTTGCCCTCGGCGGGGCGCGCCGGTTGGACGGCGCCCCCGAGGGCGGAACACCGCCGAGGGCCAACGAAGACATCCGCAGGCCCCGAACCCCTCCTCAAACTCCTCCTTCTCCTCCTCCTTCTCATCCTCCTCCTCCAACTCCTCCAACTCTTCTCCTCCTCCTCCTCCGAGCCTCGAGCCTTGAATCTCAGGTGGCCTGGCGGGGATCTCCCACGTCATCGTCGACGAGGTCCACGAGCGGGACCTGAACAACGACCTGCTGCTCGCCGTGCTGCGGGCGGCGGCGTGCGAGCACTCGGGCCTGAAGGTGATACTCATGTCGGCCACGATCGACCCGGTCAAGTTCCAGCTCTACATGGACACGTCCTCCTCGCACGGCTCGAGGAGGAAACATCTGCATGTGCAGAAGCATCCGGAGTCCCTCGCGGATTGCTCGGATCTGCACTGGTCCCCCCCTCTCTGGCGCACGGCGCGCGCCAGGGGCGGCGCCCGAGGCGCCGCCAGGTGGGTCCAGCGCCGATCCAAGCAACTCGCGAGGAGCTCCGAACGTATACGTTTATGTAGCTTTTCGCTCCTCGCACGGCGGCGCCCAGACCGACGCGCCCGCCGTCCCGGCGCTCGCCGTGGAGGGCCGGTGCTTCGAGGTGGAGACCTACTATCGGGTGGCCTTCGGCCCGTCGCGCCCCCGGGCCTGGCCGTTGTGGTGTTGGAGTCTCCTTCGAAGATGGTTGTTGTTGATCCCCCCTCTGGTAACCAATGTATTTTTCAACCGAGAGGTGCCCCCCTCGGGGCTCGCGCCCTGTTTTTTTTTTTTTTTTTTTTTTTTTTTTTTGTTTTTTTTGTTTTGTTTGTTTTTTGTCTTCTTATTTTTTTATCAGGGAAGGCTTGGTGTCACCGAGCTGTATTGTTGGGCCCCGAACTGCTACAACAACAGCGGCTCCCACCTGATACGTCCCCACAATTTATTCGAAAATCGCCCTCTCGCGCAGGACTTGCTCCCAAGTTATACAAGCATCGCGCTCTCGCGTGGGACTTTCTCGCAGTTCATTCAGACGCCGCGCCCTCGACACTCAGAAATCACGCTCTCGCTGTGGCCTTTCTTGCGATTTACTTGGGAATCGCGCTATAGCTCGGGTTCTCCGCGCGATTCATACAGTACTCACGCTTCAGCAACACGCCTTCTCGACCTGGCCGCTTGGGCCCGCCTTCCCGACCCGCCCGTTAGGGTCTACCCGCCCGATGGGCCCGTCTGGTTCTGCCACGTGTTTTCTGCTCCTAGCCCCCTCCTGCTAATCCCGTGCTCCATCGTTCTCCCTCCCTCTTCCATCCGTCCTCTATTCTCTGTTTCAGGGGCTGCACCTATTACGTGCGGCAGGTAAGGAATATATGGTCCAGGGTCTGCCCTCCCCCCCCCACCAGATGGCAGGGTGTCCAGTCCCCACCCCCCCTCGATGGGTGCCCCCTCCCCTGTGGTGTGCTGTGGTGTGGTGTGGTGGTTTGCGCACGTGCGTGCGTGCATACATGCGCGTCCCCCCGCCCCCCCCCTGTGGGTGTGGCGTGGTGTCGTGGTGTGGTGGTTTGCGCGCGTGCGTGCATGCGTGCGTGTCCCCCCGTCCCCCCTGTGGGTGTGGCGTGGTGTGGTGGTGTGGTGTGGTGTGGTGTTTTGCGCACGTGCGTGCGTGTACCCCTCCTTTGGGTGTGGAATTGTGTTGTGTGTGTGTGTGTGTGCGTGCGTGCGTGCGTGCGTGCGTGCGTGCGCTTGCGCGCTTGCGTGCTTGCCTCCGGCGTAGTCGTCAGCAAAGGCAGCGCCGTCATCGTCGTCGTCTTCGCTGTCGTTGTCGTCGCCATCGTCGTCGCCATCGTCGTCGTCGTCGTCGTCGTCGTCTTCGTGTTCGCAGTCGTCGTCGCCGCCGTCGCCGCCGTCGTCGCCACCGTCGTCGTTGTCGTCGTCGCCATCGTCGTCGTCGTCGTCGTCGTCGTCGTGTTCGCAGTCGTCGACGCTCTCGTCGCCGCCGTCGTCGCCACCGTCGTCGTCGTCGTCGTCGTCGTCGTCGTCGTCGTCGTCGTCGTCGTCGTCGTCGTCGTCGTCGTCGTCTTCACCGTCATCTTCACCGTCGTCTTCGCCGTCGTCTTCGCCGTCGTCGTCGCCGTCGTCGCCGCTGTCGTCGTCGCCGTCGTCGTTGCCGTCGTCGTCGCCGCCGCCCCCCCCACATACCATCTGGGGGGGGGACGTGGGAACCCTGGGACCCATACCATCTGGGGGGGGGACGTGGGCACCCGACCGTGGATTATGTGTACCCCCAGGGGGGTACGATCGAAAACGAAGAGGGCGGGTACCGAGGGTTTGGGATATACGTGTTGAATGGCACGCGAGCAGGTCAGAGCGAACAGTTTTAAAATGATTGTTGTTGCTGCTGCTGCTACTGTTGTTGTTGTCGTTGTCGTTGTTGTTGTTGTTGTTGTTGTTGTTGTTGTTGTTGTTGTTAAACATTATTTCTTCTAAAGAATAGTTATTGTTGGGACCCCTGGTGCGCGCCCCCCCCGCCGCGCCTAGGCCGCAGCCACATTTTCATCATTTTCGTGAGGAAGCCTCAGGTAAAACGATGTGATCCAGATCCGGTTGTTTTGTTGTAATCCGCTTTCCCTTGCAAAAAACAGTATAAAATGAAATTTCTTGTTTTAACATATCCAAACTTCAAGAATCCCTTGCAAAAAATAAGGTAAAGTGGACATTCGCGCGCGCAAGACGAAATCCTTCCAAAACCTTAGTTTTCGTAGCGATTTTAACATAAAAACATCAAAAAACCAATGGTTTTTCAAAAAAAAATTGTCGAAATTTCATCCCGCGCGCTCTTGCGGATTCGTAGGAAACCCAACACTTTTTAAACATTTCTGTCAAACGGGCTTTTGCGAGCAACTTTTTCGAACTTCTGCAACAACGGTTGCGCACCTGCCAGGGCCATCATCCCTGTCAAATAATACCATGCGGGACACATTCGTTTTTTCTTCGCGCGCGCACGCCGTCGTCGTCGGCCGCGGGGCCCTGAATAGTAGCCACGGTCGTCCGCATGCCACGAAGTGAAGTGTCCGAACGTCATAGGGCGGGAAGCTGGGTGTGGGTGGTGGCGAAGAGTCGTTTGGAAATTTGGTAGAGCTTGAACCGGCCCCCCCACAAAGTGGGGGTATTGCCCGCCTCCTATGAAAACCCTGGCACTGGTGAGAACGGAGTGTCCCCACGTGCTAGTAATTGTTGTTGTTGTTGTTGTTGTTGTTGTTGTTGTTGTTGCAGTTGTTGTTGTTGTTGTTGTTGTTGTTGTTGCTACTGCTGCTGCTGCTGTTGTTGAACATTATTACTTCTAAAGAATCATTATTGTTGGGACCCCTGGTGCACGCCCCCCCCGCCGCGCCTAGGCCGCAGCCACATTTTCATCATTTTCGTGGGGAAGTCTCAGGCAAAACGATGTGATCCAGATCCGGTTGTTTTGTTCCCCCCCGCTTTCCCTTGCAAAAAACAATATAAAATGACATTTCTTGTTCTAACATAACCAAATTTCAAGAATCCCTTGCAAAAAATAAGGTAAAGTGGACATTCGCGCGCGCAAGACGAAATCCTTCCAAAACCTTAGTTTTCGTAGCGATTTTAACATAAAAACATAAAAAAAAAACCAATGGTTTTTCAAAAAAAAATGTCAAAATTCATCCCGCGCGCTCTTGCGGATTCGTAGGAAATCCAACACTTTTTAAACATTTCTGTCAAACGGGCTTTTGCGAGCAACTTTTTCGAACTTCTGCAACAACGGTTGCGCACCTGCCAGGGCCATCATCCCTGTCAAATAATACCATGCGGGACACATTCGTTTTTTTTCGCGCGCGCACGCCGTCGTCGTCGGCCGCGGGGCCCTGAATAGTAGCCACGGTCGTCCGCATGCCACGAAGTGAAGTGTCCGAACGTCATAGGGCGGGAAGCTGGGTGTGGGTGGTGGCGAAGAGTCGTTTGGAAATTTGGTAGAGCTTGAACCGGCCCCCCCACAAAGTGGGGGTATTGCCCGCCTCCTATGAAAACCCTGGCACTGGTGAGAACGGAGTGTCCCCACGTGCTAGTAATTGTTGTTGTTGTTGTTGATGCTGTTGTTGTTGATTTCTCATTTCTGAAGAATAATTGTTGATGATCCCCCCCCACCGGCGCATACTTTTTTCTCAATCAAAGTGTGCCCCTCGACGCTCGCACCCTGTTTTTTGACGGAAAGTCTTCCTGCTCAAACTGGGCCCCTGGCCCCTGGGTTACAACAACAACGGCTCCCGCCTGGGACTTCCTTACAATTTAGCCAGGACCACCGCTCCCGCCCGAGACTTCCTCGCATTTTATTCAGGAATCGCGCTCTTGCTTGGGAATTCCTTACAATTTATTAAGGAATCGCTCTCCCGGTGCTCTGGAGTCGCGCTCTCGCTGGAGACTTGCTTGCAACTTACTGAAGAATGGCCTTGCGTTGGAAATTCTTGTAATTTTCCCAAGCGCCGCGCTCCCGACACCCGGGCACCCAGGAGTCGCGCCCGTTGTTGCCCCATGTGCGTGCCCTTCGTGGCCCCGCTGTCGCCATTTGTGTCCCCCTCACTATCCTACGTGGCCCAGTTGCTATCCTCCGTGGCCCCATAGTTGCCTTCTGTGGCCCCGCATTATCTGCACTTCGTGGCCACCGCTCTTTCGCGCTCTTCGTGGCCCCATACGCATTCCCTTCGTGTCCCCGCTGTCGCCCTTCGTGGCCTTCTTCGTGCCCTTCGTGGCCCTGCTGTCGTTCTCTCTCGCTCTCGCTTTCGCTCGTCGTCGGCGTCGTCGTCGTCGTCGTGGTCGGTCCCCTGTCCGTCCCTCTTGGGGTCGGGTCGACGGTCCGCGGCCGCCCCGCCGTTCAGCGCTGCCGCTGGCCAGGCCGACGGTCCGCGGCCGCCCCGCCGCTTGCCGGGGCCCGGCCTGCAGGGAAGAAAGGTATACCCCCCAAAAGGGGTTCGATTGAAGACGAAGAGGGCGGGTATCGAGGGTTTGGGAAATACGCGTTATTGGACACTCGAGCATATAAGGGCGAACAGTCTTAAACTTATATTGTTGTTGTTGTTGTTGTTATTGTTGTTGTTGCCATCGTCGTCGTCGTGGTGGTGGTGGTTGTTGTTATTACTGTTGTGGTTGAACATTATTACTTCTAAAGAATAATTATTGTTGGGGCCCCTGGTGCACGACCCCCCCGCCGCGCCTAGGCCGCAGCCTCATTTTCATCATTTTCGTGAGGAAGTCTCAGGCAAAACGGGGGAGTCCGGATCCGGTTGTGTTGTTACGATCGGTTTTCCCTTGCAAAAAATAAGCTAAAGTTGACATTTCTTGTTCTAACATAACCAAACTTCAAGAATCCCTTGCAAAAAATAAGGTAAAGTGGACATTCGCGCGCGCAAGACGAAATCCTTCCAAAACCTTAGTTTTCGTAGCGATTTTAACATAAAAACATCAAAAAAACCAATGGTTTTTCAAAAAAAATGTCAAAATTTCATCCCGCGCGCTCTTGCGGATTCGTAGGAAACCCAACACTTTTTAATCATTTCTGTCAAACGGGCTTTTGCGAGCAACTTTTTCGAACTTCTGCAACAACGGTTGCGCACCTGCCAGGGCCATCATCCCTGTCAAATAATACCATGCGGGACACATTCGTTTTTTCTTCGCGCGCGCACGCCGTCGTCGTCGGCCGCGGGGCCCTGAATAGTAGCCACGGTCGTCCGCATGCCACGAAGTGAAGTGTCCGAACGTCATAGGGCGGGAAGCTGGGTGTGGGTGGTGGCGAAGAGTCGTTTGGAAATTTGGTAGAGCTTGAACCGGCCCCCCCACAAAGTGGGGGTATTGCCCGCCTCCTATGAAAACCCTGGCACTGGTGAGAACGGAGTGTCCCCACGTGCTAGTAATTGTTGTTGTTGTTGTTGTTGTTGTTGTCGTTGTTGTTGTTGTTGTTGTTGTTGTTGAATTCTCATTACTACCCCTCTGGTGACCATTGTGTTTTTCAAGTGAAGTGCTTCCCAGAGGTCTCGCACTCTGTTTTTTGTTTGTTTGTTGTTTTGTTTTGTTTTTGTTTTTGTATGACAAATCAGGGGAAATCACTGGGCTCAAACTGGGTTGCTGGCCCCCAGATTACCACAACAACGGCTCCCGCTTGAGAGCCCTCAGGAATTAGCCAGGGCCCCCGCTCCCGCCTGATATTTCCTCGCGTTTTACTCAGGAATCGCGCTTTCGTTTGGGACTTCCTTGTAATTTATGCAGGAATCGCTTTCTCGGCGCTCTGGAGCCGTGCTCTCGCTGGAGACTTCTTGCAATTTACTCCAGAATCGCGCTCTTGCGTTGGAGCTCCCTGCAATTTACTCAAGCGCCGCGCTCCCGACATTCAGGCACCCAGGAGTCGCGCTCACGCTTTGGACTCCGTCACAGCTTACTTAGGAATCGGGATCTCGCTGCCCTTCGTGGCCCCGTTGCAGCCCTCCGTGGCCCCCTCGCTGCCCTTCGTGGACCCGTTTCAACCCTTCGTGGCCTCCTCGCTCCCCTTCGTGGCCCCTTTGCCGCCCTTCGTGGTCGCCTCGCTTCCCTTCGTGGACCCGTTGCAGCCCTTCGTGGTCCCATCGCTGCCATTCGTGGCCCCGTTGCAGACCTTCGTGGCCCCCTCGCTGCCACTCGTGGCCCCATATATGTATGCCCTTCGTGGTCCCCGCTCGTTCACGCCCGCCGTGGCCCCATATATGCATGCGCTTCGTGGCCCCGCTCTCGCCCCTTGTGCCCCCCTCGCTGCCCTTCGTGGCCCCCTCGCTGCCCTCAGTGGCCCCGTCGTTGCCCTCTGTGGCCCGATAAACGTATGCTGCATGCCCTTCGTGGCCCCCGCTCGTTCGCGCCCTTCGTGGCCCCATGTGCATGATCTTCGTGGCCCCGCTCTCGCCCCTTGTGGCCCTCTCGCTGTCCTGCGTGGCTCCGTTGCTACCCTCAGTGGCCCCGTCGTTGCCCTCTGTGGCCCTGCATTAACTGCCCTTGGTGGCCCCCGCTCGTTCGCGCCCTTCGTGGTCCCATACGCATGCCCTTCGTGGCCCCGCTGTCGCGCTTCGTGGCCCCCTTCCTGCCCTTCGCGGCCCCGCTGTCGCTCTCGCTCTCGCTTTCGCTGGGCGTCGTTGTCGCCGTCGCCGTCGCCGTTGTCGTCGCCGTCGTCGTCGTCCTCGTCGTCGTCGTCGTCGTCGTCGTCGTCGTCGTCGTCGTCGTCGTCGTGGTCGGTCCCGTGTCTGTCCCTCTTGGGGTCGGGTTGCCGCCGGTCAGCGCTGCCGCTGGCCAGGCCGACGGTCCGCGGCCGCCCCGCCGCTTGCCGGGGGCTTGCCCGCAGGGAAGAAATTTGAAAAGGGGTACGATCGAAGACAAAGAGGGCGGGTACCGAGGGTTTGGGAACTACATGTTGAATACACTCGAGCAGATAAGAGCCAGCAGTCTGAATATTATTGTTGTGGTTTGTCTTGTTGTTGTGGTTGTTGTTGTTGTTGTTGTGATTGCTGTTGTTGTTGCTGCTGCTGTTGTTGTTGTGGCTGCGTTTTTTGTTTGTTTTGTTGTTGTTGCGGTTGTCGTTGTTAACGTTGTTGCTAATGTCTTGTTGTTCTTGCTATTCGTGTTTTTTGTTTTTGTTTTTGTTGTTGCTGTTGTTGTTGGTGGTGGTGGTGTTGTTGGTGAGGGACGGGCTTGGAGCCTCGCACCCCCGCCAAGCAACCAGCAACTCAGCAACCCCTCCCAGAGGGGGTGCACCCCCTGGGGGGGGTTGGGTTGCTGAGTTGCTGGTTGCTTGGGGGGGGGGGTCCGCAAAGCCGCTGCCAAGGAATCCTTCGGGACAAAAACACGAAGGACGAGGACGAGGACGAGGAGGAGGAGGAGGAGGAGGAGGAGGAGGAGGAGGAGGAGGAGGAGGAGGAGGAGGAGGGGGGGAAGGAGGAGGAGGAGGAGGACGAGGATGAGGACGAGGAGGAGGACGAGGAGATTGCTGCGTTTTCCATTCTTTTTCTTCAGTTTTTTGGCGCCGCCCGTTGAAAAACGGCTCTGGGGGCCCCAGGGCCGCCGAAAGGGGGGTGCCGCTCGAAGGCCTCTCGGATGCCCCTTTGAGGCCCTTGGGGCGTCTTCTGGGCCTCTTGTAGGCCACTTGGAGGTAGTACGGCCTCTTGGGGTCTCTGGGCGCTTCTGGGGGGCACTTGGGGGTACACTCCAGGCGATGCTCAAGAAAACCGAAGTTTTCGGCCAGAGTCTCGATTATTCTTAATGTTTCAATGAAAATCCTAAGATTTGAATGGACATTCTGGGTTTTTATTTAAGTTCTGAGACTATCAATTTCTTAACCCATGATTTCTAAAGCATTTCGCAGGGTGTATGTTGGGGTCTTGCGGGCTATCTTGGAGGGAAAGGATCCCGATACCTCCTCCCTTCCCCCTCTTGGATCCCTCTTGGGCCGATAATGGAGGCTTTTCGGCCCGTCTTGGGGGCCTCTTGTGCCGTCTGAGGGCCCGCTTGGGTCTTCTTGGGGCGATCTTTGGGGCCACTTGGGCCGTGTTCGGGCGTTGGAGGTCCGAAAAGGCGAACACGCAAAATCATAAAAGTCAAGCGGGATTCAATGATTTGTGCTTCTTCGGGCCCTTTTAAGGGGTCCTCATGTGGCTCTCTTGAAGCGTCATGGGAGCTTCTGGGGCTGTGTGGAGGCTGTTTTGGGCGTCTTGGAGCGATCTTGGACTCTCTCGGCGGCATCTTGGACCGTCTTGGGGCCCTCTTGTGACCCTCGTGGCCCTAGCCCGTCTTTACGTCCCATGGCCTCAGGAAAAGCTTGCTGGAAGCCTGGGAAGCCACGCGACCCGTCCTCTGGGACACGCGACGCGCCCCGGCAGTTGGATGCCTCGGCCCCTTCAGGAGCACCCGCAGCACTCCGTATTGAGGGTTGGGGATTCGGAAGCACTCGAGGGCGCTCCACTCAGTGCCTCGAGGCACGGCGGCGGATCTGGAGGACGCGATCGAGATGCTGCAGTGGCCAGGGTCCAGAGACAGGGACAAGGGCGCGGGCAACGCGATGAACACCTGCGACCCTGGCCACTACTCCGCGAGCACGGTGCAGGTGCTGGGGGCGATGTCCGAGCACATGATCCCCCTGGAGCTCGCGAGGGCCATCCTGGGCCACGTGCTGAGCCGGCGGTCGGCGGAGGACACGGGCGGCGTGCTCATATTCTTGCCGACGTGGGGCATGATGAGCCTCATGCTCAAGATGTTGCAGGAGGATCCGAGCATCAACCAGGCTTGCAAGTTCGTGATGCTTCATTCGCAGGTGCCAAAGGAAGAGCAGCTCGTTGCGTTCCAGCCGCCCCCGCCAGGGCGCACCAAGGTGGTAATCTCGACAAACATTGCCGAGTCCTCGGTGACGATCGACGACATCTCCCTCGTGATAGACTCCTGCAGGGTCAAGCTGAACTTCTTCTCGGTGGCAACTGGCCTCTCGCATAACCAGGTCTCCTGGACCGGGCGGATGAACATGGAGCAGCGCAAGGGCCGCGCTGGCAGGACGAGGCCTGGGGTCTGCTACAGGCTCTGCAGCCGCCATCGCTTCGAGGCTGGCCTCGAAGACGAGGTGCCTCCCGAGCTCACGCGCGCGCCGCTCACCGAGTCCGCCCTGCTGGTGAAGTCGCTGAACCTGGGCGACGTCGGGGCCGTTCTGTCGCAGTGCGTGGACCCCCCGCCGAAGGACGCCGTGGATCAGGCGATCGCCGAGCTCTGCTCCATCGGGGCGATGGACGAGAACCGGGAGCTCACGCCGCTGGGCCGCATCGTGTCGCGGCTGCCAGTGAACCCGCACTTCGGCGTGGCGCTCATGCTGGGGCATTGGCTGTTCCGCCTGGGCGACGCGTTCGCCACCATGTGCGCGGCCATGTCGTTCGACGAGCCGTTCTTCACCGAGAAGACGGCGGGCTACCTGCCGTGGTCCATCTCGGAGGCCTACGCCGGGAAGTACAAGAAGCACTCCGACCAGTTCCTGCTCGGCATGGTCCACCAGGAGTACGCGCGGCTGCTGGACACGTCTGGCCAGGACGCGGCGCAGGGCTTCTGCAGGCAGCACAACCTGAACACGGTGATCATGCGGCAGGCCTCGGGTCGGACGAAAGGGGGTGGGGATTGGGAAAGGTCGATTAGGCGTAAGAGTGACCTTTCGCCGGAGTGACCTTTGGTGCGGGCACAGATGGGCCCCCAGATGGCCGAAAGAGAAGCGGTAGCAGCGGCTTGCGCGCTTGTTTTTGGCCCCCCCGCGGTCCCAAAAAGCCGCGCACTAAAGGTCACTCGTACCCAGGTTCACTCTTGCGTGTAGCCGAAAAGGGGGTATCGCGAAAGCTGCTGCACCCAGGGGCAACGCTAAGGTGGGGATGCATCGACCCCCACTCGCCCAGTCATCGCCGACATGGGGCCCGACAGCCCGCCCCCGCCCGGGAACATGTCGTTTCGCTATCGGGGCCTACCGCTCTTCTATCGGCGATGCAGCGCCGATTCCAGGTCGATGCGTCCGCCCCCCCCCCCACCAGAGCCGGTCCGCCCTTAACGTTGCCCCTCAGAAGGGGGGTGGGCTCGGACAGGGATGGAGGTATTTGGTAGACCACGTGAGAGGACGAACTGCAGCGTCAATGGGATGTGCTGGCATTTTGTGCCTAATGCCGCACGAACGCAGGAGCACCGAAACCTCGCGTTGGATCCCGAGGCAGGTTTGCAACGAGCATAGCGTTTGAGTGCAGTCAAAACGTTGGAAGAAAAACCAATTAGGGTGCAGTCGGGGCTGCGCTTTTCGGGCTGTGCGTTCGATCCAGGTCGGGGAACCTGTACTAATGGTCTTTGGCTCATCCCGTCACCGTGCCTGGGGGGGGGCGCGAAAGCTGCTGCATGCAGCTGGGCTCCGCCTCCGAGCCCCTCTCCTCGATGCATGGGCCGCGGGCCCAGCGCAGGGCGGCGCCGGGAGAGCCGGCTGCGTGGGCGGATTCGGTATATATATATATATACACATTTGCGCATGCATACATACATACATGCATACATACATACAGGCACAAACACATACATACCTACCTACATACACACATGCACGCATACATACATACATACATACATACATACATCCATACATCAATCCATACATCCATACATACATACGTACGTACGTACACACATACAACCATTGATTCATGCATGCATGCTTGCATGCATACATACATTTGTTAATACATACATACGTACATGCATACATATACACATACATATACATACACACATACACACATTTATACCGACCTATCTACCTACCTACATACCTACTTATTTACATACATACATACGTTCGTTCGTTCATACATACATACGTCCAGTCATGCATACACACATACACATGTAGACATGTATGCATGCACGCATGTATGTATGCAGGTATGTGTGTATGTATACATGCATGCATGCATGTATGTATGTATACATGCATGCACGCATGCATGCAACAATATATATATATATATATATATGTATGTGTGTGCATGTATGTATACATGAATGAATGAGTGAATGTATGCATGCATGTATGTGTGCATGTATGTATGTAGGTAGGTCTGTATGTATGTATGTTTGTAATGCATTGTGTTGTAATGTAATGTATTACAATGTAGTGCAATGCAATGTGTTGCCATGCAATGTAATGCAACGTAATGTATTGTATTGTATTGTATTGTATTGTAATGTATGTATGCATGTATGTATGAATCTATGTATGTATGTACGTCTGTCTGTCTGTCTGTCTGTCTGTCTGTCTGTCTGTCTGCATGTATGTACGTATGTATGTATGTGTATGCATGCATGCATGTATGTATGCATGTATGTATGTATGTATATCTGCATCGATACACCGATAACCACACACATACACACACTCATATATATGTGTATACATATATATACAGAACTGCATTGGCGCTGCGCGCCATGCACCTTGGTCCTTTGAGTTCTGCACGCAAGCGGAATGCGTGCGTGCGTACATGCGCGCATGCATGTATACACGCGCACGTGCATGCACGTTCCGTATAAATGTCTAGGTGTATACAATATACTTACATTGTTGTATGTGTGTGCAGCGTACTACATATAAATTTATGTGTGTAAAGATCTGAACATCCATATGCAACTCGTACGGGGCATCCTCGGGCATCTTCGCTGCATGCCACGAGACCCTCAACGACTGGGTCACAATGTGAAATGTCATGGGAGCAAAATCAATGAATGTTGGCATTCGGAAACGTCGTGGGGGTGTTTTCGGGGCCCTCGTGGGCCGTTTTGGTGCCTTCATGAGCCGTCCTGGGGCCTTCTTGGGCCGTCTTGGGGAGCTTGGGCCCGCTGGAGCCCCCTTTGGACCCATCTTGGGTACTTCCGGGGACCTCCCATGGCCCTTTTGGGTCTGTGCTGGGAGCCCTTGGGGGGCTTCTTGGTCCCATTATGGGCTGTCTTGGGGCTCTCGTGGGCGATCGTGGGGTGGGGCCCGGCTCGGCCGTCTTGAAGCTTTCTAAGGGGGCCTTTTGGAGCGCCTTGAGGCGATCTCGGGGGCTTTGAAACCGTCTTGAAAGCTGATGAAATCCGAAAGGCGAATATGCTAAAATTGTAAGTTTTACGAAGGGACTGGGACGATTTTTGTGCTTTGAAGGCCCCATTGGAAAGCTTTTTGGGGTGCCTTGGGGGTCTTGATGTTGGCATTTGGAAACATCGTGGGGGTGTTTTCGGGGCCCTCGTGGGCCGTTTTGGCGCCTTCATGGGCCATCCTGGGGCCTTCTTGGGCCGTCTTGGGGAGCTTGGGCCCGCTGGAGCCCCCTTTGGACCCATCTTGGGCACTTCCGGGGACCTCCCATGGCCTTTTTGGGTCTGTGCTGAGAGCCATTGGGGGGCCTCTTGGTTCCATTCTGGGCTGTCTTGGGGCTCTCGTGGGCGATCGTGGGGCCCGGCTCGGCCGTCTTGAAGCTTTCTTGGGGAATTTTGGGGCGTCTGGAGGCGATCTCACGGGCTTGGAAACCGTCTTGAAAGCTGATGAAATCCAAAAGGCGAATATGCTAAACTTGTAAGTTTTACGAAGGGACTGGGACGTTTTTTTTTTGCTATGAAGGCCCCATTGGAAAGCTTTTTGGGGGCCTTGGGGGTCTTGATGTTGGCATTCGGAAACATCGTGGGGGTGTTTTCGGGGCCCTCCTGGGCCGTTTTGGCGCCTTCATGGGCCATCCTGGGGCCTTCTTGGGCCGTCTTGGGGAGCTTGGGCCCGCTGGAGCCCCCTTTGGACCCATCTTGGGCACTTCCGGGGACCTCCCATGACTTATATAGGATCGGGAGTATAGCTCGCGCGCCGTTGCCTTTGGCTCAAGGCACGCGCGCCCTATTTGCCCGGACACTGCTTGTGTTCGCTATGTGCTGGAAAGATCCTTACATCGATCTTATCCTATCTTATCCGTCCATTTCTCTTACTGAACCACCTCAGTACGATACCGGACGCTATCTGCCATCCGCTTCCCATGGAATCGGATGCCATTTGACTTACCATAGTCACTTCAGACTTGGTAGCGGAGCTGGCCGCACTCTCGTGTGGTCAGCTCTTGCTCTTCTTATCTTCACGCTATCCGGCACGATCTTCGTGACCAACTACCACCCTGCGCCACCGCTCCAACTACATTTACGAGGATCAATTCAAGAACAAGAAGCAACACGAGAGGTACGACGTCTAGACAACAACATTGGTACCATATACGCTTCATCAAGCGCTACCACCAACCGCTCGGCAACGAGCCAAAAACGCAGTACTTGAAGCAGAGGCGGGAGACCCGCAAGATAAAGCGCCTCGAAGACTTGACAAGGCGCAAACCCAGCGCGGCAACGCGCCTGATAACCACCCATATCTTCACAGCCTTGGGCTGGTTATCTGCGCCATCATATGGTTTGCGCTGGGGGCAACAATCGGACACATGCGCCGAGGAGACAACAGCACCGATGGGCAAACACATGGCCCATACTGGGACTCTCAAGGCAACGTACCTTTCCGCGAGTACGTTTATGAGGTCAACGCGTGGCTCAACGTCATAAGCGGACGTATGACGCCACAGGCCCAAGCAGCCGCCATACAACGCGGCCTGGGCGGCCTAGCGAGGACACTCGCCATGAGGGTACCACCTGACATTATAAACTACGGTGCGGACATCGACGATGTCCACACCGACCCAGTAACCTACATTATGTTCCTCTTAAGCATGAAGTTCGAACGCCTGGAAGATGAGCGCCAGCTCACTTCAGGCACACAGCTCATCGACTTTCATGTGCCTCACGGAGAACGAATCGATGTAACCCTCACTCGGTTCGAGATGGCCCGTCTTGAGGCACAGTCGGTGGGGTTTGATCTTCCCAACTTCCAACTGCTCACTACTATCCTTTTCCGCGCCCTAGGCGTTGGCAACCAGCGAGCCATGCAACTCTTACAGCCACTCAACCACCAAATGCCCCGAACACAACAACAGTATAATGAGTTGTTGGAGAGGATGCGTTCGATAGGCCATCTGTCAGAACGGTCTCCTGGTAACATAGGATCAGTGTTTGGAAGGGGAAGGGGAACTGGCAGTGGAAATTTCTACACTACCTTAACCACTGAAGCTCAGCCTGGCAACGGGCCCTCAAGCATACGGGCCGACGATCCTGGAGAGTCTACTGCCCTACTAACAGGGGATCGATCACAACCAAGCTGGGCAACCAGCCCCCCTCCTAGAGAACCTCAACCACACCGTTCTTTATGGGGTGAAGCAAACCCCCTAAACCACGGTGTATCGACCTACCTGGGAGACGCCGATACCATATCATCAGACGGTATTGAACCTTTAGGCTGGTCAAATTTCATGCATATGGAAAGTGACAATCAGCGTGCCGAACACCTGTTCTGGTTATTACAACAGGCAAAGCGGAGGTGGAGGAGGTTCACACGAAAACCAGTGCGTCGTGTTAGGAGGAGGATACGGAGGAGCTCCAAAGGAAAAGGTAAAGGCAAACGGGGTCGCCGTAGGTTGAATGGACGAGGCATCGCGGCCTTCCTCCAGAGGCTCT